TTATTATTATTATTATTATTATTATTATTATTATTATTATTATTATTATTATTATTATTATTATTATTATTATTATTATTATTATTATTATTATTATTATTATTATTATTATTATTATTATTATTATTATTAATAATTTTTTTTTAGTAGTAGTAGATAGAGAAATTGGGAGGAAAGAGAGTGTAGATATTAATGAGGAGAGAGAAATGAGAGGAGAGAGAGTGTGAATATTAATGAGGAAAGAGAAATGAGTTGATGAAATAAAATATATAGGTTAGTAGTAGGTTTTAGTAGGTTTGAAAATTGAAAAAAGTATGAATAGTGTATTTTCAATAGAAATTTGATAAGAAAAAATGGGATTTTCTGGATAAAATTGTGAAACAAACATGATCTCGGTTTTATGAATAGTATAAAACTGGAAATTGGGTTTGGAAATAAAACCAAACATCCCCATAATGTCTCGAAAATTCAGGCACTGGGGTCAGGTGAACAATTTCCAACTTCATCGGGCGGGCCGTATTCTATTATTATGGAATCCGGCAGTAGTTCAGGTGGAGACGCTCGGAATGACGGACCAACTCATTTATTGCAAAGTCTCTTGTCCTGTGCATCGGCAAATTCAGGTGAGCTTTGTATATGCATGGTTTTCAATTACTTCTCGCAGGCCGTTGTGGACGTTTCTTGCAACCTACATACGGTCGAGCTTCTACTTTACCATGGCTATGCTTACGGGATTTCAACACGGTTCTTCAACCGGTTGAAAAATCAGGAGGCAATGATGCGACCCCTTATATGGTTAACAATATCCAAGAGTGTTGCTGGTTAAACGGGCTGGATGATTTAACATCTATGGAATTTTATTATACTTGGTCAAATCATACTGTGTGGAGAAAACTTGACCGAGCTATGGTGAATTCGACTTGACTGCAAACATATAGAGGCAGCTCGGCTACTTTCTTACCGTTCGGGAAGCACTCGGACCACTCGCCGAGTGGGTAGGGAGCTGGTCTCTGGCACGTTCCGATTCTTCAATATATGGACGATGCATGGGGAATGTATAACAATTGTTAAAGACGTTACGACAGCGAATCGTCAAGGCAGCCGACAATGGGCGGTGATAAAAAATCTTAAGGAATTGAAATCCCCTCTCAAGAGTCTTAATCGGAATGAATTTTGTCACATTTCAGAACGAGCTAAACGGGCGTATCTTGATATTGAGAAGACCCAACAGCAGCTGCATGACGATCAACACAATGCAGCCCTGCAACAGGGAGTACTTAACCGATCGGAGAAGGCAAAATTTCTCACAAAGACGGAACGAAGCTTCTACTACCAAAAAGTGAAGCTACATTATCTAAACAACAACGATCGGCCACCAAGTTCTTTCATGGAATGGCTAAACGGAATGCTCAGAGGAACCACGTGGCATCTATTCGACGCGCGGATGGGACGATGACCACATCACGTGTGGAAGTCCATGCAAAATTTTTGAAGTTTTACATGGAATTCTTAGGAACACGTCGGCCTTCCGAAGCTATTGACTTGGAGGTTTGACATTCCGGGCCATGGATTCACGAGGATGATAGTGCTACTCTTATGGGTCCAATCTTTAATTCAGAAATAAAGGATGCATCGTTTGATATCTCGGACAACAAAGCTCCGGGGCTGGACGGTTTTACTGCCCACTTTTTCAAACACTCATGGGACATAGTTGGGCCACTCTTGACGGAAGCAGTGTAAGAATTTTTTTGGAGTGGCTCTTTAAAAGCAATGGGATAACACGGTACTTGTCTTCATCTCGAAGAAAGTACAAGCTCAAGAAGTGGGGGATTTCCGACCAATAGCTTGCTGTAATGTGATCTATAAGGTCATTGCCAAAGTCCTAATGATCTATAAGGTCATTGCCAAAGTCCTAACAACCCGTTTAGGCAACGTTCTACCAAAGATTATCGATAAAACACCATCAACGTTTGGGGGGGGGGGGGGGGGGGATTGATCACGGAGAATATATACTTGGTGGAACATCTTATGCGGCATAACGAGAAGAAGAGTATTTCTCTTAGATGCTTGTTGAAGATGGATTTACGCAAAACATATGACTCGGTTAACTAGGAATTTCTCCAAGCTATGTTGGAGGGCTTGGGTTTCCCAGTTAAATTCATGGGATGGATTATGCAATGCGTAACTTCTGTATCATATTCGATCTCGATTAACGGTGAGACGAAGGGGTTCTTTCCTGCCATGCGTGGATTAAGGCAAGGAAATCCCTTATCGCCCTACTTGTTCGTCATATGCATGGAGTACCTCTCCCGGCTACTTCATGTACGTCCGATAGAACAAGAACTTAACTACCACCCGATGTGCCATCTACACAAGATAACACATCTGATTTTTGCGGACGATCTAATGGTATTTTCTCGAGGAGACGTGGAATCATTCCATATCCTCGCCAAGACTACGAATTTGGGCAGGTTTTGGGGCTCAAGGAAAATCATGCGAAGTCTAATATTTTCTTAGCCGGAGTTAAATTGGGGCACCGATTAGAGATCGAAAATGAGTTTCACTTTTCCACGGGAGTGTTTCCGTTTCGATACCTTGGAATTCCACTCGCTGCATCTAAAGTACGAGTGCTCAACTATCAACCACTGCTCGACAAAATCGAGCAAGCCATAGGAGCGTGGACATGCCAAACTCTCTCTTACGCCGGCCGTTTGGAGATTTTGAAAACCGTGGTTCAAGGTATGTGTTGCTATTGGTTATCAATATTTTTGATCCCACATGCAATTATCGAGAGTATTGAGAAACTATGTAAAACAATTGTATGGGGTGCGGCTGTCCGATTGGCATGGCCGAAGATGTGCAAACCGAAGGAAGAAGAGGGTTTGGGCCTCATTGATTTCACTGATTTGAACCGAAGCCTTCTCGTGAAAACCTTGTGGGATTTTCACTTGAAGAAAGACTCTGTGTGGATACAGTGGGTGAATGAATTTTATCTTAAGGAACGAACCATATGGGAGTGGTCACCGCCACTCACAGCTTCACCCTTCTTCAAGAGCAACATCCGAATCCGAGACGAATTGGTAGAGAGCGCGAGGACTACTAAGTTTCTTATTGCTAAGTTAGAATCTTGTACGGAGTTTGGAAAATTAAATGTGAGTAAAGTATACGACTGGATTAGGGCTAAGGCCCCGATCAGATCGTGGGGTAAACATCTTTTGGCTCCATCTATAACACCAAAGCACTCGTTTATCCTATGGATTGATTCTACGAATCGAATCGCCACAATGGACTGAGTGGAACGACAGGGGCGTAGAGTTGCCAACTCTAAATGCGTCTTGTGTGGCGTGGTGGACGAGACTAAGAAGCACCTCTTCTTCACATGCAGCATGTCTCGAGAGGTATGGGACAACATACGGATATGGTTGGGTATCCGCCAACGACCAACCACATTGGGTGCATCACTTAAATGGCTCAAGAAATACGTACGAAGGAAGTCGTACCACAGCAAGACGCAGCGATGTGCACTAGCAAGTCTCGTGAACCACATTTGGGAGGCTCGGAATAAGTGGAAATTTGAGAAAACTGGAACTACTCCGTAGGACCTCACAAGCAAGATCCAACTAGATGTTTACTCGACTATGTTCAGCCAGCACCCGGAGATAGCGATTTCAAGGACGAACGGATAACCGGTCAGCCTTATGCACCCATGAGTGCGTGATTTAGATACTAGGCTTCCGTGGGTTATCCCACTTTTATTTATTTTTATTTATGCTTTTAGTACGTTAGTTTATTTTTTATGCTTTCTGCAATAGGTTGTACGCTTTCCTCGGGTATACGCGTTGTAATTGTCTACGACTTTTTTTGATTTATAATATTTACATTTTAATAAAAAAAAAGTTTCAAATATAATGATTAGTTTGTTTTTATATATTAATTTTAATTGAGTAAAATTTAAGTATGATAATGTAAACTCAAAATCTAAAAAATATACTTAAAAAAAAAACACAAGATTTTATGTTGACAGTGGGATTCGAACCCACGCCCTTTCGGACCAGAACCTTAATCTGGCGCCTTAGACCAACTCGGCCATATCAACAATATTGCTTTCAATTACAATAGTCTGTATTTAAGTTTCATTTTATGGAGAATATATACACACATTTTTTAATTATAAAAAAAATCTAAATTTTATAATATATTAATTTAAATTTGGAATTTCACACATTGAAGTCTATAAATATACTATACTAGTACTTCACCCGTACGATGCATGGTGGTCACCTTCGTGAACAAAGCCACTATTCAACAATTTAGGGTCGTAAAGAAAAATATTTCAAAATAAATATAAAACTAATACAAGTAAAGATGTTAAACAAAAACATTACTCCCAAAGCAATATAATATATGTTTAAAACTAATGCATAAAATATTCCGTTCGACATGTCTTCCATATGAGAATGCTAGAACTAATTAAATTAATGGAATCAAACGCACTGCACCATCTCGTTGGTCCACTTAAATCAAACAATAAAGAGTAGATAGCCAGCAAAGTTTACGTACTTCGCATGAATTCAGTTCAATACATTTTTATAAGAAACAACAATGACAATAATGAGTAATTTAACAATATTAATATTATATTACTTACCAAATGAGAATGCAGCCAGTATGATACAAATGCAAAATCAGGTGCAAACATACCTAAACATAAAGACCACATACACACATTAATAAGACTAAATATAGTTATAATAATATAAATAGACGATAATTACGATATATACCTTCATATGCGCTGAAATACTTCTTTGGAAACAACGTTGCTAATTGAACTGGACGATCCACCGGATTCGGACTTGATTAGGATCTTTATGCCATATCTACTCTTGACTCTCTAGAGCACAACGTACAACTGACAGTGGGTGAATACAGGTCTGGGTAGATACAAACCGACGTGGGAAAGTGTTTGACCCTGACTCTTGTTGATGGTCATTGCAAAGGAAACCATCAGCGAAAATTGTCGCCTCTGGAACTTATTTGATAGAGTAGAGTTTGACAGGAACAACGTCATCCGATATTTTTGCCAAATAGAACCTTGCAACTAAGAACATGAGTTTCCATTCTAACAACTTGAAGTCTGGTTCCATTGCAAAGTCCTCTCGCTTGGTTGATGTTTTGTATGAGCAAAACAAGAACATTTTCCTTGAATTTCAGCATATGTGAAGGGAGACCGGAGCAAGACACAGTGTTGAGGAATTCGGTCGTATAAATTTCAGAATTCTCATCAAAAATCATTTCATCATTGCACATACTATCCGCACTGATGTACAACTTCTCTTCGCCGGGAAGGAGGGAACATAAGTAGTCGTTGACAAACTCAACACAATCGTTAGTTGGCACAAGCACTGCCCTCCCTTGGAAATAATCGGGATTTGATATGTTACTCTACAAATCCAAATATACTAACAACAACAGCTCCAATAATTGATCTTCTGAATCGGGAACTAGCATGTCCTCGGCATTCTCAACGGACGCTTCACCCATCGTTTTGCACTCCTTCCTCCCCATTACTGATACTTAGTATCCAATCAGCAAACTCCTTTACTTCAACTTCGGATGGATTAGAGCTTGATTGAAGCCTTATATTCGTATGCAACTTAAGAACCTTACAGTCTTCCCAAAGCTGAGATGAGTTGATCGTAGTGTGAACAATGTTCTGCCTTGATGCCTTCAGTTATTTCTATGTTTTTTCAGTTATTGCTTCTGAATATGGATCATGTTGTTAGACAAGTCTCATTTGTGATGTAATGAAGAAATGTATATTTATTCAATATGTATTAATAATTAAAATTTGTGATGTTTCAGGTTAAATTTCAGACCATCGTCAAGAGTCATCATTCAAGTGACATGTCTGGGATACATGGTGATGGCGAAGGAAATGAAGATCCAAGAATCGAAAATCAAGAGAAAGAAGAAAAAGAAGATGGAGATGATGCATTCATGACAATAGCATCTGCTCTTCTTAAAGAAGTTATTGATAAAGTGTGGCTCGAGGAAGTTGGATGACCAATGAAAGGAAGAGTTTACGCCCTTGGATCGGAGTCCAGTTCTGTTGTACAATGAGGTGGTCCTACGTTTCATGTTCCAACCGGTTCTTTATCAGGATCATCTGTACCTTCTCAATTCTTATTTAAAACCGCTTCCTTCAAAAAAGCTGTTAATCGAGCGGTGGAGCAAAAATTAACCAATATGAAGGTTACTTTTCAAGAGGAACTACAAGCCTTGAAAACAACCATTCAAGAGATGGGTGAAAGACAACCTGGAGGAGCTGGTAGAGATGGACAGTAGCATCGCACTTATATGGTATTTTTTTTATCACGACTATTTTTTATCGTTTGGAAGACGAGTAGTAGTGCTTAGCCTTACAATCTTGAAGATTGTGTTTTGAATTATCATTATGTGGATATCATATATGTTAGCTCAGTTGCAAGTTGCGTTTGGGTTGATTTTATGGATTTATAAGTCGGTGTTTGTTATATTCTTGTTGACTCGATATTGACTATGGCAGAAAAAATGGTGTTTGATTTTTATCATGTGTTTGTTGTCTTGATTGAATTGGTGGATTATGGGAGAAAGTGTGGTGCTTATTTTTTTTAAGGAGGTGAATATTCATGTATATAAGGCATTGAAATTGTTTTGAAATAGGGAAAAATTAAAATTTGAGATATTTTTTTTAATTTAAAATTGTTTTAGCGACGGATTTAGCGTCAGACACGAAATTCTGAAAATTCATTTTTCCAACGGATGTAGTGACAACGGACATGGCAATTGTTGCTCGAATATCACTGGTCAGTTGTAACGACGTCTGAGTATGCATTACCGACCGTTAGGTTTGTGGATACGTTAGCAACGGATTTTTGTTGTTTGTCTCTAAATTTAGCAAGGCCGGTTTTGGCGATGGCATGTGCGACGGCCGAAATCCGTTGCTAACTATATTTTGGCGACGGATTAAACGAATTAGTGACGGGTATATCCGTCACGAAATCTTCATTTTCCAGTATTTATTTACAAAAGTAAAAACTTTTCTTATATTAATATATTAATGGGGAAAAAATTAAAACTTTCACAAACTTGTTTCTTTAAAACATTTTATTACACTTAATTTTATTTGTTGAAAATAGTCAAATATCAACACTATAAAAGACTGTATATTCTCAAACACCTAAACAACCTATAAAATCTAAAAATAACTTATAAGCTATATATCCAAACACCTTAAAAGAGATGGCAAGTTGGCTTTTTTTAGTGATATTCACGACTTTAGTGTGTGATTAAAGGAATCCGATTTACATGATCTGGGTTTAACGGGTTATCGGTTCACTTGGCTAATAATAGAAAACTTCATATGGTCTAATAATAGAAAACACTCATTTACGATAAGAGAGCGCATTGACAGAGCTTGTGCTACTGATGATTGGAGAAACCTATTCCCTTATTATCGTGTCGTTCACCTAGAAGCGCTAAACACTTATCATATTCCCATTCGCATCGATATAAAAATTGAGAACTACCAGGCACCAAGAAGAGGAGGAGGAGGGGCTTCAAGTTCGAGGCCATGTGGCTAAAATTGAAGGAATGCGCTAAAATCATTGATGAAGCTTGGAGAGAAAATCCAGTCTTGAACAATGAAATGGTCAGTGGGGCAAGTTGGAATATTGTAAAATGAAACTAATCAACCGGAGGAAACACTCGTTCAAAAGAGTCGCCAAACGAATCTTTACATTAAAAGATCTATCATCAAGCTAGGAATTGCTTACAGATGAGATGGATAAAAAACTCAAGGCAATCTCAATTGAAATGAATGATTTACTTGATAAATAGGAAATGATGTGGAAACAACTCGCAAAAACTCATTGGATGTGGGAATGAGACGAAAACACGAAATTCTTTCACACCAAGGCCCCGTCAAGAAAAAAGAAAAACACAATAATGGGTCTTCGAAATTCTGCTCGGATGCGATGCGCAGATGATGTTGTATTGGAGGGTATAGTGCTGGATTATTTCAGAATTTTTTTGCAAATAGTACCCATGTGAAATCTCGAACGAGTCAAAACCCCCCTGTGTTGCAAACTGAAACACGTTGTTATATTTTACAAAAGTGTTTTTAACTCTCTTACTTTCAAACTAAATTTTAGTTATTACTTAGTGGGCTAAGTGTTATGACTTAGTGGGTTAAGTAGTGATTAGTGGGTTTAATTGTGGGTTTTATTTTAAACTTCCTAACTAACCCACT